TTCCTGACAGTGAGAACAATTAACCAGTGGAACAACCTGCCTCCAGAAGCGGTGAATGCTCCAACACTGGAAGTTTTTAAGAAGAGACTGGACAGCCATTTGTCCGAAATGGTATAGGGTTTCCTGCCTGAGCAGGGGGTTGGACTAGATGACCTTCAAGGTCCCTTCCAACTTTACTATTATTATTATTATTATTACTTAACAACCATTTGTTCAGTGACTTTCAAAGTTATGACGACGCTGATCAAATGGTAGTTATGGTGGATCTCCAAAGTTACAGGCATTGCAATGTCCCCACAGTCACCTGATAAAAATCTGGGTGCTTGGAACCTGTCTACATTTATAAATGCCAGGTACACTTTAAATTTCACTACTCACCTATTCCCCCCTCCCCCCATCCCTGCCCTTTTGGCCATGCAACACTCTGCTGCTCCCTACCACTGCTGTTCCCCATTGCCCCCAGCTGACCATGGCCATCTTCTTCCTCCCATTGCTGAAGAAGCACACCCAGTTGAGGCAGTTGCTGACCCTTCACAAGGCCTCTCTGATCATAATTTGTGGCTTCCTTTCCAGAGGCCAACATACAAAATAAATGGAGAAGCTGGCAGTAAGTCAAGTCACATGAGGCCCTTGCTTAATGCCCATTACATCTTGCCAGGGTTAGGGCCTCTTCTGAATTTCAGTAGTGTTATTTGGCTTAAATAACTACCAGGCTTGAAAGAAGATGAGCCCAAGAGTCAGTCTTTTGGAATGATTGGTCTTTCTGTACTGTTTCAGAGAAAATTTACTTTCCTACTCTAAGAGGAAACACCAGCATCAATTAAAATCAGAGGTGACAGGCCCACGACGGAGAAAAAAAGTATCTTAACAGATAGGAAAGATTGTATATCCAAATATGAGTTTAAATTTTCATTGTTGCCAATCTCATGGTACAGGAACCCATTGTTTATATCCAGGTGCTTCAGAATGGTTAACATTTAGTATAACATTTTACAATACTTGAATTAGATTCAAATATTTTATAATTAACTATGTCTTTGACTACATTGATTAATAGATATATATCCATGAAATGCAATATGAGGTATCATATACAATGGAATTCAAGCCCGATCTTTGGGGATCCTTACCTATCACAGCTCTGTGACTTCCAGGGATTTCTGTGGCTGATTCTTCACCCAAAGAGTTGAATACCATTATATAGATTTGTGTACAGCACTTATTTCTTGAATTCTGCAAACAGTTGAAGTTGTAGAGAAATTGCAGTAACATGAAAGAAAGTTTCAGTTGTTTCTCCATTTCAGAAAACCAGAAATGTGATAATAAGAATAAATGATATGACTTTTAACAAGCCTCCTGTGTAACAGCAACGTGAGCAGCAGCGTTGGGGGGAGGTTGAGCTGTGTAATGTAGGAGGTTCTAATACCAGGATTAGCTGTTTATTTTTGCATCTCTGCAGACTTTGATGCAAAGCAGCAGTTGTTTGTCACGGGAGAGCTGCCTCTGCCTCACCTATGTTAATTTTAACTTGCTTATTTGTCTAGGAACATTGGCACATTGGGATTTTCTGTAAACCTTCTGATATTTCAGATTGAGAATGGAGCCAGAATGAGAGAACTGAGACAGTTGTCATACCATTGCAACGTTCTGTGTTTTTCCAGGTATGGCCTTTGATTTGGCCTCCTGTTTTATGAACGCAGTAGAATCTTTTCACATTCTCCTTTCTTCTGCAGCCTCCTCTTCCCCATAGAGGCCTCTTTCTGAGAGTTGGGGAAATTCATATGATATTGTAGGGATTGTTGCAACAAAGGGGACATACCAAACCTTGGAAGCATCCTTACCATTTTGGCTTCAGCTTATTGCGTATCTATATTGTCTGTCTATTTGAACGTTTCTTATAATGATATTAGCCTTTAATTTTTGAATATCATAAACAGGAACAATAGCATTTACATGACACCTAATGTTTAGGTTTTACTTATCTAGTGCAACTTCCGTTTTAGTTACTTAAAATTATTTTTAGAAGTTATTACTAAAAAGCAACAGTGTTTTTTTTAAAGTTTTCTAGTTTCTCATTATAGAAGTCCATAAACCAATCAATCAACAAAATAATTGATATAGTTTTTATTTCCTGGCGTGTTATTGACCTCCATAGTTTGGTGTATAATTGTTTTTCTTTTCCACATCTCTGCTACAAATTCTGTTAGGCCTTAATCTTGTATTTATCTGTCAACTGTAAGGCCTGCTAAATAAATGGATTTCTTATAAGGAATGAAGTATGAATACACTTTATAATTGTGTAAATTGTATGCAGTAAGTCTTAAACTTTCTGCATTTGTACTTGTTTTTTTTAAAAAACAACAACAACCAAAACCATTCTCCAAAAATTGAAGAAGTAAAAGGATTAATTCAATAAAATAAAATAAAATAAAAAATAGCAGTTCTCATAGGGCATGTTCATACCAAACGAACAATATACAGAATCTATTTGCTTTAGTTCAGCTCTTTTTGCAAAGAGGATCAGATAACTGCATCCAGGTATTATTAAAAACTTAGCATTGTGTGTGTGTGTGTGTGTATGTGTGTATCTGCATGCAGTTATTTTCTTAGCAAGTCAAATTATTTGTTAATTACAAAATTCTAGTCAGAGACTGGCTTGTTAGACGAGAAAGAAGCTTTCTTGGTAAATATTTGATTACTATAACTCTCTGTAGGAGGAACCCGTTCAGAGTTTATATACAACAGTCTATTTCAGCGTGGTTGCTTACTAGTGATAGGGTAGAATTCATAGCAGTTGTTGCCAAATGTCCATATATATATCTTTGTAGAAAAAAGTCTTAAACATATAGTCTTAAAAGTCATGGTGATGTCAGAATTATGTTCCATGATGCAAATGATTTGAATAAAATGTGCTTGCATAATTTTATATTATGATGCAAAAGAACTTCAATAGATCATTTGAGTCATTTGTGCCATGATACAATGCAACATCTCTTGCCACTACATCTGTCGATGTTCATGGATATATTAAATGTATATTTTAAATAAATTAAACTAATTTCTTTGTGTTATTCCCATTAACACTGGCTATTTCACAAGAACTCACATGATGAAAATCTTTCTTCCCAGATCATTCCACATCAAGTGGTACTTCCTTGTTTAAGCCCAGCCGCTCGTTGGTCTCGATTCCCACTGCCCATGTAATGCCATCTCATATCAACACTTCGCTTTCAAAACATAGGGATCCTCTCAAGTCCAACTCTACAAAGTGGAGCACAAGCCTTTTGAGATCTGCTCAAAGCAGGCATCAGGGCATGTTGGACAGCTCTCTCGATATGAAAGATTTGAGGCCTGTAAGGAAGTGGTCATCGTTGTCTAAACTCAGCACACCTCTTAGTTGTAACCAGGATGGGGATGTTTATTCAGCAGAATGCAGGACCAACTTGGATACAAATAGAAGAGACAAGACTGTTTCACCACAATTAAGAACAAGTGGGTCAAATTGCTTATATAATAGTATGGAACTATTAAAGTCTGAGGACAGAGAAAACGGGAAGAAAAAGAATTCTACTTTGAACTGCAAATACAAATTTGAAAGTTGCAGCAAAGAAGACTGGGGCGTTCCTGATGCCTCAAACAGGAGACATGCCTTAGATATGACCTATAGTGCCTTACCTGAAAGCAAGCCTGCTCCATTAAACTCTGAAGCTTTTCATCAAGAATATATAACTTTGGAACCACAGGCTGCAGTTTCCATTCAATCTTCTGAGAGGACTCAGAGGTGGCTTACAGAACAATTTCGTACAAATCCTCCAGAATCCAGGCCTTCTGAGGAGTCATACAGCCTATCTCCTTGGCAGTTACAGCAACTTGAAGGACTTAGAACAGGAAGTGAACATCTGCAGGTAAGAATCAAACTTCAGTGTTTGCTGCCACCAAGTGGATAATAAGAAAAATAATATCAGACATCTTTCTATTCAATGAATAAGCTTGTATCTACTCTTCTGTTTTATTATAAATGCTTTCATTGAAATCAATTGAGATAGCAGTTGTTATAAAATGGTGCTAACATATTTCACTTAATTTGTCTCAGATTTTTTTTCTTTCTCCAAATGTAAATATTGAAAGGAGCATTAAATATGAATATGTAGCTTGAGCAGGCATCCACAGAGGCAGTTGTAACACGTGCATTACACTATTATCACATCAATGCTGCAACTTATATACTTGTGTCAGTTATCATACAAATATAGTCATATTAAGCTCTTGGCAGACTACTTCAACCCAAAGCAGGATTTTCCTAGCATTTCCTTTAACAATTTTTTTGGAAAAGAAATGGAATAAAGTTGCAGAAACTTCAGCAACTGGACTGCTTTTCCTTTAGAACACACATATTCAAGCAGAGAGTTCTTACATTACCATTACAGATCACTTTTTAACTGATGGCCACACAAAGAAAGAGGGGAAATGCCCAAAGTACTGTAAATACTCCTTAAGACAGCAGCATATTTTTTCAGGCTTACACAGATGTCTGGAAAATGGTGGGCTGCTTCTAGAAATATCAAAGGGGCATGTGCAAGATCAGGAAACATATTTGAAGCTTTTTGTTGTTGTTTTTTGATACCTTCAAGTCAGCATTGATTTCTGGAAACTGGTCTAGTTCCTGTAATTTTATAGGCAAGGTTTTTCAGAAGTGGTTTGCCTGCTTCTTAGAGGGAATGACTGGCCCGAGGACGTTCAGTTGGCTTTTTGCTTCAGTGGGACTTGAACTCGATGATGACGATGAGGATGAAATTTATTTCAGTGCTTTCCTGCTTTCTAGCCTGGTACCTTAACCAGTACACCAAACTAGCATACCAAATCCTATTTATTTATTTAAACAAACACAAGTGTTTCTTTTTCAGTTCATTTATTGCTGCAATTTAAATGCTTCTCAATTCTAAAAAGGCTCTGAGGGGTTTCACTATTTTTGCATAGCGTGAATGGTTCAGATGACAGAGAAACACAGCCAACTTCTCCCATTTACCTATATATTTAGCTTAGCTTGTTAATTGCAAACACTGACATTTTGTGACTAGACATCACTTATTCAGCAAGCACCCCTCAGTCATCTCATGGTTCTATATTACACTTAATATCAAGGTGCTGGTGGATAAGATGACATCCACGTAATTTGATGTAGAGCGCTAGGTAATTCAAAAAGAATCAGTGTTCCTTTGCAGTTCAGGTAAATTGAAAAGCAAAATATCTGTGTAATAGACTGCTTCTTAAACTTAAGTCCTTGACTCACTTCATTCCAGTCAGCCAAAACTCTTCAGGGTGATAATAGGATTGACTGTGGCAGTAAATATTAACATCATGGTTAGCATCAATTGTGCATTGAACTTCTGTGGTCCTTGCAAGGAGAAATTAGAAGCTGCTCTTTCTATATTGTAGCAAAACTATAAAGGAGAAAGAGAAGAGGCACCAGTATGGAGCCTTGGCAATGTTTTTTGCCCTGCCTGCCAGTAAGAAAGGAGTACTTAGATTTATGTGGCATGTACATGATCTAAACATTTATTAGATATAACTAGCATTTATAAACTTCAATTTATTTACTTAACATAAAGCACAGTATTTAATAGGTAGTAGAACCCTATAAGGCAGGCTGTTTTCTTTTGCCGTATGGTAGAGGGCTAAGACTGAAGGAAGGAGTAGTGTTTTAGGTAAAGTCCTTTAGTGGGTTTAGAGTAGAAGCAAGATTAAAAGTAAAGTCTTTGTTGTTTCTTAGCTTCTTGACTATAATAGTTGATCACATAACAGATTTGTCAGGTATGTCATAATTAGGAAGAATAATTATGTAACAGTTTCATTTAACATTCCCAATGTGACACAGAACAGTAATAAATGATATGAAAATAATTGTAACACTATTTTGATACAGATACACACATATATTCTACTTCTGTGTCATAATTGTAATATGCCCAGGATCCTTTGCTAGCTGTTAATAATATAATATATTTAAAATAATAAAAGAGGAAAAAGTTTGGTTTACTGTCGTTTAGAACGCTTTAATAAGATTTTTTTTCTTTAATAACTTTACAAATCCGATAGTGGTGAAAATTCATTTATATGCCTAGGTTTTATTGTGTGTTATGAAAATAATTTTATACTGAGAAATAGAGGAAGTCATAATCCAATCAAGTCATATAATTTGAGTTTTCCTCTCCTTTGGTTTTTTTTCTTTCACCCTTGTGATATTGCTGCTGCTGAGTTAGTGAGGAAATTAAAATAATTAATATTGTCACACATATTTGTAGAGATGGAACATGTTATCTTCTTTTTCATTACTCAGTAAAAATGACAATGTTGATACATTAAAATAAATGACATAATGAATCAATAATGCAATGTATTTATTAAAGTATTGGTACTGACTTTTGCATGCAGGTAGACTTCGACTTATGACTACAATGTTTCCATTGCTAAGCAAGGCAGTTGTTAAGTGAGTCACGCCCCATTTTAGGACCTTTTTGCTGTGGTTGTTAAGTGAATCACTGCAGTTGTTAAATGAATCATGTGGTTGTTATGGAAATCTGGCTACCTCCATTGACTTTGCTTGTTAGAAGCCGGCTGGGAACATTGCAAATGTTGATCACATGATTCCAGGACAATGCAACTGTCATAAATATATGCTATTGCCAAGCACCCAAATTTTGATCATGTGACCTTTGGTATATTACAATGGTTGTAAGTATGACAACTATTCATAAGTCACTTTTCAGTGCCACTGTAACTTCAAATAGTCACTAAACAAATGGTTGTAAGTCTGTATGTGTGTAGGTTTTTTTTTTACTAATTGTAGCCTTCCTATAAATCTCAACAAGGTGCAGCAATTGCTTGTTGGTTGTTCTTGAAATTCCTCAAAATGTCAAATTTTACTGTATTCCAGGTCATATTTAAATAAGAGCTGCCCCCCCCCCCAAATAGAACAAGGTATTTGTGTTTTCAATGGCAACACTCCAGGCTCCAGAAGCCAAGGCTAGTGGCCTAAGTAATGTTGAGAACGGAGAGGTATAATCTGCTAAAGTAAATCTGAAATTTTAAAATAACTAAAGTATAGATGAGTTACTCAAATGTGCATAAAGATGTCCATAAAAGTGTATACTCAGACATTCTACCATGTTTCTAGATTATCAGTAGTTTTTTGTTATAATTATTTGTATTTTTTAAAAAGATTACAAAATTTGTAGCTGTTTTCTGAACATATGGCATCAAACTTAGTTCTCTTGTAACACTTATTACATTGCCAGAATTCTCAAGTTTCTGAAAGTGACTCTTGTCCTAAAATGGGCATATAGGCACATACCTCCCACCAATACAGGTAGTCCTTGGGTTACGATATCAATTTGGATCAGAATTGCCATCCCTAAGCAATGCATTCGTAAAGTGTGATGTCACACGACCATGTCACTTAGTGATGACAGTTCCACCAGTCCCAGATGCTGTCATTAAGGACTGCATGGGTTGTTAAATGAGGACCTCAAGTAACTGTGACTTCCAAGTTCCTGTGAGTTTTCCATTTTGACTTTGATTGTGGGAAACTGGCAGAGGACATCAGAAATTTCAATCACACCTAGAGTATAACTTCACTGTTTCATTTCTATGTGAAATATAGATAAGAAGAGAAGAAGTGGCAAATGGCAATATTTTGCTTAACAAAGAAATTATGCATTCTTAGTTTCTTAAATCTGCTTGAAATTATAATTTGCAATCTCATCACAACAAAAATCAATAGATAAAAAAACCTTAAAGTTATATGTTCTAATTGTCTTTTAGATTCCTCTCATCTGGCATGAAAGGCATATGGAGTTAGTAATTGAATTGGACTTAGTCTGAAACTTTCTAACAGTAGTGAATTTGAGAGGCAGACACCCCCCCCCCTCAAATAAAATCTCACAATAGAGAGAAACAGACTTGGAAGTAATTTACATAAACTATGGGAAGGTTAATATGCTTTTAGTGGAAAGAGTATTCCATGATTTGCTAAATATATTATTACAATAATACTCTATTCTATAATACTCTATTACAGCACTTTATAATAGAATATAAATGTCCTGTTTTAATATTACCAGTAATAAGCAATGTAATCTTATGCAAGGTAGTTCATAACGAAGTCTCATTATGCTTATTTTTATTCCTATGTATATGTATCACCATCAAATATGCAGAAATTTACTCTGAATAAGCATTTGTCTTCATGTAGTTTTTCTACTTCCTCTAAATGGCTATTTGCTCTCATCTTCAATATAAAAATCACAGATGATTCCATGTTTGCATCATTATTTCATGTTTGTTTTTCCTTTTTTCAACTTTAGATTTCAGATTGTGCTGTTGATCTGATCTGTTCTGTTGTAAAAATAGTATATTTTTTTCATTTCTCTAATACAGTGAAAACTTCCCTGATATGCAGGGTGTTAAGTCTAGGGATTTTTTGTCTTGTTCATTTTGTTTTTCATATTCATACAGTTTGAAGGTTCAAGTTACCATGATGGCATAAATGAAGAGTTAAAAAAAAACCCTTACATGAGCTTCACAAGGATGAACATAAGAACAAGAACAAAAAAAATAAGTAGAAAATTGAGTAACAGGTTGAGACCTCTATTTGCAGCAAAATCCATTGTGGCAAACTTTTTGCACTTATTTTGCTTGCAGTAGAAATATTGATTGTTGTTATAAGCAGGTTCAGTTCAGTGACAGTGAGTTACAGTTGACGTGTGTGGGTTGCAGTACTCTTGTTGTGACCATTTCTTGACGCATAAGAGCTTTTTTTGTCCAATAACCTAAAAAAAAAATGATAGTGAGTCACAGCTAATGTAAATACCATACTGATGCCTCCTTCCCAAGCTCATGTTAAATCTAGATCAGTGATCTAACAAGCCACAAATTACCGGAAATTCTATATTGGTATTACTTTTTCATGCCAAGTAGGATAAAACCTTCTCCCATTCAACATATGTCATAGTTTAATAAATTGTATTTAATATTAACTGCTTCAAGATACAGCAGCATTGTTAATTATCTGCTCTTCTAAATGTTTTAACATTGTTTATAAAAGAATTTAATGTAAAAAGCTAGTTTATATGATTTACTCTTCAAAGCACATTTCCGATTATAATCAGCTATTCACATGTTCTTTTCCATCCTGCCTCACTTCTCTTCTCTGATCTGGAGGCCATTAAGGGGCTGGTATTACTATTAACTAGAGTCAGCAATGACTAGCGGAGTAGGGACTCTTTTACCTTTTTACTACCTTCATATTTAAACTGAATTTGAATAAAAACTCAGTGAGTCAAATCCAATTTTCCCTCAAGTCCCAGGCTGAAGAGTGAGATGGACGATTAGATACCTGAGGCATAAGATCTTAGAATCTTTAGGAAGGGACTTATGGAAAGATTGGATTACTTTCTACCAAAAGAAGGGCCAGTTTCTCTTTTGGGAAACTGGAAGAGTCATTCCAGCTATATTTAACTGCAGTGTGAAGGATATGTAAGATATACCCCATCCATAGACATGCCCACTTCCTTACAGTAAAAAAAATATGGAGCTTAATACAATTGAACTCCTGCAAAGGCAAACTGAAAATCAAAAAATAAGGATTTTGTTACAGAGTAATAGTTCTGTTGGATTTATTTTGAATTAACTGTTGGATAGAATGGAATTTACTTTTGAGTTAATTCAATGAATATACTTTGATGGAGGCACTAGAGCTGTAAAATCCATAAATATTTGCTTGATTATTAAGGCTAATAGAGTTACTATACGAAGGATTATAATTCAGTCTACAAGAAATGGGTTTCTTATAAATTGATCTCTTTCCCAGGTGTCTTATGTTAGGTAGTATAACTTGGATACATGGGGCATCATCCAACCATTATTAGCTATTTTTATTTTTGTTTGGTTTCAGTTAGAATGTTGTAAGCATGTATTTTAACCTCTGGCACAGGATGTTTTTCTTTTTAATCAAAAGTGGTATAAAAGTTCAAATTCTATAAAATATAATATTTCTGATTAGACTTAGACATTCTCACTATGGTTCTTCAGAAATTACATAATTGTGTCTTTTTTTTTAAAAAAAGGGAAGATTTGTAATGTCCTGGATTTCCATGATATGCTATGACAGATTTACATAGACTTTGGGTATGAAAACAAGATACTTTATTACAATTAGTATTGCTTTTTGTATAGTAGCATTTGTTTTTTAAATATTCCAGGGACAGCCTTTGAACATCATTTGGGATAATTATGTTATTAAATTTGAGATCAGCAAATAATATACCATGGGCAAAATCATATATAGAAAAAGAATGGCATTTGGTAAGCATTTCTTTCACCTATTCGTGAGTGTGATGTGGTGCAACTGAGCAGTGTTTATGGAACCTTCAAAAGTAAAGAACGGTTGCAGTGAGGCTATGTAAAAAGAAGGAAAACTACAGAAACAGCAATAATGGAAGAATGGATTGTTGGCTGAGTTTGCAGAAATGGCTAAATTGACTTGTTTGCTTAAAAAGGGGAACTACAGCTACTCTTATAAACGAATGCAAACCTTTTATAGACTGTGCTGAAAATGGATAAAAATGAGCTGGTGATTTTGGGATTTATTGATTAAAATGTTTTTAAGGGAAGAATGGAACTCTGGTATGCAGTATGTGAGGATGGCCGTGCTATGTTTATTACTGCTGAAAACAAATGAGAAGTTATTTCTTTAGATATTTTTCCTTTTTCTTTTATAATCTCTATTTCTTTTTCTGTCTTTCTGTAGTTTTTGAAATCTTCATAAAATTTTCTTTGAATAAAAATTATTCATCAGAAAGTAAAGAGGGGTTACTAGTTAATTATCTGACTATTCATTTTCAAATTTTTGCTATCCAGATGCAAGAACAAAATACTATAACTGGATATAGGGGGAGAGGAGCAGAATTTTGAAATTAGGTCTTAACATTGAAACAGTTAGGAATAAAATGAATTTGTTTTCTAAATAGAAATCTATTTTCTACAATTAATAATCTGTTTTTATCTTAGAATTCAGGTAAATATATGGGCATATGCAGCTTTTATTATAATGATTAATAATCTGCTTTTATCTTAGAATTCAGGTAAATATATGGGCATATGCAGCTTTTATTATAATGATTAGAGTGAAATTGTACACAAGCTCTGTCTTTTTGAGGCATGCAGGCAATAATACCACAACACTGTTGACAAGCAACAGGGAGAAAGCAGAACTATTTAACTCATTTTTTGCATCTGTCTTTACACAAAGGGAAAAAACAGACCAACCTACCAAAAATAGTGCCATAAAAAACAAAATAGAGATACAAGTTAAGATACGCAAGAAAATGGTAAATGAACACCTGTGAGTTCAAATCACCAGGACCAGATGGATTACACCCCAGGGTTCTTAAGGAGCTGGCGGATGTGATCTCAGAACCACTGAACTATATTTTTCAAAGATCCTGGAGCACTGAGGAATTACCAGAGGACTGGAAAAGAGCTGATGTAGTTCTCATCTTCAAAAAAGGGGAAAAAAAGGACCCAGGAAATTACAGACCTATCAGCCTGACCTTAATACCTGGGAAGATTCTGGAAAAGATAATCAAACAACGAATCAG